AGAACTACTTTTGACAGTAGTTTTGATGACAGTAGAGAGATACTTTTGATAGTAGTTTTGATGATAGCAGACAGATATTTTGACAGTCGCATTTGTATTAGTATTAGTTTTGATGATAGCAGAGGGATACTTTTGATAGTAGCTTTGATAACAGCAGAGAAATACTTTTTAGTTTCTTTGACAAGGGGGACATGTGGACCAAAATGCTAAAAGCTGCTGATTTCTGGTGTCTCACACATGCAATCCCGCACACCTGTGTAACTAACAACTGAACTACAAAAATAGTTACAGTTACTAGAAGAGGCTGCAAGGAAAACCATTATACCATGCTAGCTTCTTAGTTACTTGCTTGCAAAGTGTTTCCTGAACTTTGCCTTCCTTCCTTTTTAGCCCAATCTGGCCTCATTCAAAGAAACAATTTCTCTCCTCCCTCCCTCCAATTTTTTTTAACCTTTTACCTGTTTCCTATTGGTTGCTTCATAGGTAGCGGTGAGCTTCCATTGGCTGCCTCGGCTGTCATCTTCTTCCTCACCCCGCCTCTCTGATCTCAACTTCTCTTTGAATTTGAAACTTTATCTCTTTCTCTCTGTCTCTTTTAGCCTCAAGTTTCAACTTGGGATCCAAGGCTCCAAGCTGGGAGCTGCGGCCTTAAAAACCTCTCCTGGGCTGTTCAAAGAAAATATATATATAAATATTAATATATAGCACTGCTATAAATGATACAGATTGCTTTTCTTCTTTAAAAAAAAATCAACAAAACCTTGAAAGAGAAGGATCTGCCTTTTGCTTTTCCAGAAGGGGTGAGAAGAAGGTGAATTTTATTTTATTTTATTCTATTCTATTTTATTTTATTTAAAGGGGCAGCCACACAGTTTACAAGGCCCCTGGATGCAGCACAATCAGGTAAGGAGATAGAAGCAGATGGGATCTAGTGGGAGGGGATCAGAAGGGATCTAGCAGGAGAGGGGTGACCAATTTTTAGCTGGAGATCTGGCATCAGCACAAACATGTCAGCTGGGAAAAATGTGCAGAACTATGGACGTTATCACACGGGGTCTAAAGCAGACAGAACCCCGTCCCATCCCCGTCCCATTGCGGGTTTTTTTTCCGTGTGTTCACATGACGTCACAGAGAACCCCGTCCCATCCCCGTCCCAATGCGGCATCATCCCCGTTCTTTTGAATGCCGGTTTCCTGGGGAATTACATTCGCGCGACCAGAATGATACCGTAATGATTCTGCTTTCGTTCATTGCGGAATGATGCTAGTTGCGTCTGATAGCCATTTCCGTCTTGTGGGGTCTATACCGGTATAGTTCTGGATTGATTCCATACCGCTTTCTTGCCGCTTTGAGACCCGCGTGTGATAACGTCCTATGTGTGTTTTGTTTTTTTGGGGTGGTGGTGGTTCTCTACTGTGACCTCTCTACTTTTGATAAAACTATTAAGACAAGGAGGCTTGGTTGTCCTTCAAGCCATTTTATTGATCACTCTTCATGGCCTGGAAGGCTTTCAGCCATACTATAGATTCACTCATGCAAATAGATCAATCTTATCTTGTAGCAGAACCACCTCATACAGAATACAAATGTTATTGGTAGCAGTAGCACTGCTGTTGTATTGCTGTTGTTGTTGTTGATGTTATCAGATAGTCTGAAGATAAGACTAAATCCATTCTCCTCCTCTTTCTCCTCTTCTTCCTCTTCCTCCATCCCCCTCCACCTTTTTCTCTTCTCCTTCTCAACTCCTCCTCTTCCTTTTCCTTCTCTTCTTCTTCTCCCTTCTTCCTCTTCTTTCTCCTCCTCCTCCTCCTCTTCTTCTTCTCCTCTTCCTCCTTCCTCCCCTCTTCTTTCTCCCCCTTTCCTCTTCCTCCTTTCTCCTCTTCTTCTTCTCCCCTCTTCCTCCTTCTTTCTCTTCCTCTTTTCCTTTCCTTCTTCTTCCCCTCTTCCTTCTCCTCCTCTTCTTCTCCCATCTTTTCTCCTCCTTTTCTCGTCCTCCTCTTTTCTACCTCTCCTTCTTCTCCCCATCTCCTCCTCCTTTCTTTTCCTCTCCATCTTCTCCCCATCTCTTCCTCCTCCTCTTCTTTTTTTCCCTCTTCTCTCCCTCTTCCTCCTTTTCATCTTTTCTCTTCATTTCATCCTTCTCTTTTCTTCTCCTTTTCTCCCCTCCCCCTCCTCCTCCTCCTTCCCTCCTCATCTTTTTCTCCCTCTTCTTTGTCCTCCTCTTTCGTCATCAGACTGGTGTATAAGTTATCATTAATATTGTTAATATTGTATATATCTTTGTGCCTTCAAGTTGCCTGTAAACTTATGGAGACCCCATGAATTTCAGAGGGTTTTCTGAGGCAAGGAAGACTCAGAGGTGGTTTTACCAGTCCATTCCTCTGAAATAGAGCCTCCAGCACCTGGTCTTCATTGGTGGCCTCCCACCCAAGTACTAACCAGGGCTCACTCTGCCTAGCTTCCAAGATCAGACCAGAGTGCATTGTGTGTGTCCATGTATCATCAAGGCTCCTGTCGACTTATGGTGACCCCACAGATTTCATAGGGTTTTCTTAGGAAAGGAACTCAGAAATGGTTTGGCCAGTTTCTTCCTCTGAAACAGAGCCTGGTCTTCACTGGCGGTTTTCCATCCAAGTGCTAACCAGGTCAGACCCTGCTTCGCTTCCAAGATCAGATATGATCTGGTGCTTTTAAGGTCACTGACCTGATTGATAAGTATTTTTCTATACACCAGTTTTCCTGACCTTGGAGGCTTCCAAATGGGCTGTGACTACAACTCCCATCACACACATCCAGCCAGCATGGGGACTGTCGTCCAACACAGAGAGATGCCAAAAGGGCTGGGTTGGAGCGAATGACCGAAGAAAGGAAAGTCAACACCTGTAAGCCCATTTATAAAAATCCCCTGAAACAGGAGACTTGTAATTTGAAAGCAAACACGGCGTGCGTCTTTGCCCTCACCTTTGTTTGCCCAACATGTTCAAGCAGACCTTGCAATTGAAAAGAAACACGCAGGCTGAATCACTCCCTTAAGCAATCCAATTTTATTGTTTATTTTGCTTGAGGCAACTCTCCCGGGCTTCTGTAATCCCTTTGCACGGGAATCAGACCATGGCCTGGAATAATGCTTTCTGCCCTGCAAGGCGTTCCCTCTAAAGTCAGATGGCAAGGGGACTTTTAGAAGGAAGGGTCCAAGTCCTGAGTTCAAATCAAGGGAGACCATTTTCTCCATTCCATCACAGGACGGGCAAGGAGACAGTTTACGGAGAACTTAAGACCAACCTATCGAGTGCTTTTCTTGACACGTCTCTTCAGACTGGGTTTGCCATTGCTCATCCCCTGAGGCTGAGATAGTGCGACTTCCCAGGGTATCCTGAGATTTGTAGTTTGTTGTGAGTGCTCGAACAGAGAAGACGAAATATCTTGCAAAATTACAAAGCATGGAGCTGTGGCAGTTAAAGCGGCGTCAACCCAGATGATGTCTGCAGTGCGGATGCAGCCAAGAGTCCTCCTCTGTTTCCTTTCTCTTCATTCCCTAGTCTGTCTCCTTCATCTGGTCTAGAAACTGGCCAGTAAATTATTCAGGTCTTTCTTGTATGACTCCATGAAAAATTTAACTCATCCTGCTAGGAGTTGCATATGTGCAGAAGGGTTTACGGTTGCAAAGGACAAAAGGCAGCGGTTGTTCTCGTAACTGAGCCTGAGATAACTGTTGCTCCAAGAGACAAGTTTGAGCAGGGGAGTTTGAGAAGAAATATGAGGCAAGGAGCATGGAGAGAAAACATGTGGCAAAAGGGGTGTCTTATCACTTCTGCTTCTTAGAATCATAGACTATTAGAGAAAGATCATCTAGTTCAACCCCACTGGGTCATGCAGGAATACACATTCAAAGGACTCCTGAAATATCCTACCTCGATTTAAAGACATCCAAAGGAGATTCCACAACCTTCAGAGGTAGCAGATCCCATTGTCGAACATCTCTTTCTATCAGGAAGTTCTTCCTAATGTTTAGGTGGAATCTCTTTTCCTCTAGCTTGAATCCATTGCTCCATGTCCTAGTCTCTGGTACAGCAGAAAACAAGCTTGCTCCATCTTCTACAGGACATCCCTTTAGGTATTTAAAGATGGCCATCATATCACCTCTCCGTCTTGTCTTCTCCAAGCTGAGCACGTAGCCTCCAACTGTCCCAATCAATCTGGTCAAGATGGCAAAAGGAATTAGTGAGGAATAACACACAAGCTAGCAGATGCTGCAGATAACTCTTGCTGAGTGAAGTCAGTGCGTACAACTTTTGCAGCAATTGACATAAGCTGAGGACAAAGGGGGAGGCGGGGAAAGAACACAGGACATTTTAAAAGCAGATGGGGAAAATGAGAGGGCAGAGGATTAATTGGGACTGTCAGTGCCAGTAAGGACAATTGGAGGCAGGGGCGTTGGTAGCAGGATGCGAGAGGTGTGGACTGTACATGATGACACCTGCTTCGGAGTGCAGTTGAGTCTTCTTCTTTGGAGGTTTTCAAAGAGGGGCTGCATGGCCATCTGTCGGGGGTGGTTTGATTGTGGCATGGCAGAATGGGGTTGGACTGGATGGCCCTTGGGGTCTCTTCCAACGCTATGATTCTAAATTCTCACCTCAGAGGGGGTGTCCCCTAGTGCAGTGGTGGGAAGGGGCTGCTTTATGGGTCTGATGGCTCTTCTGGTTGAATGGGAAAGCAAATCTCCTCCTTCTCCTGCTCTGCCAGACCCAGAAAAGGTTGTGGGGCAGCAGGAGCAGCCTACCAGCAGTTGCGGGTGGGGTAGTTTGGTGGGGCTTTCTGAAAGGGAAGGCTAAATATCTCACAAAACTACAAATCCCAGAATTCCATAGCATTGAGCCATGGCAGCTAAAGAGGCATCAAACTGCTTCATTTCTGCAGTGTGGCAGCAGCCTAGAATTCTAGGAGGAACAGTTGTAAATCTGAGTGTGGATTCGCCATCCCAGCAGCAGTGAATAAGGAGAGCTAGCGTGATGTAGTGGTTATAGAGTGTTGGACTATGACTCTGGAGACTAGGGTTCGAATCCCGGCTCGGCCATGTAATCCCCTGGGTGACCCTGGGCAAGTCACTCTCTCTCAGCTTCAGAGGAAGGCAATGGCAAACCCCCTCTGAACAAATCATGCCCAGAAGACCCCATGATGGCTTCACCTTAGGGTTGCCATAAGTCAGAAATGATTCGAAGGCACACAACAACAACAAGAAGAAGGCAATGAATGCACAAGGGCCCCCTGATACAGGAGATCTCCCCATGCCAAACTAGTGCCCAGGACTCAGAATACAATAATGGTAAGAGGAGCAGTTGCAAAACCAAGTGTGAATCTACCAGTCCCAGATGCATCAGGATCCCCTGGTGTTTTGCAATCTAACCCTTAAACTCCCTTTGTTCCCACTTTGTGTTCATCCTGGGAAGGAGATGGTGGTTGAATTTCCATGGGCTTCTCCAGTGTGGTTGTGGTGAGAAGAGAATAGTTGAAATCAAGACAGGCTGTGGGTAACGGAGTGAATTATGTGCAAAGAATACCATCAGTACTCATCTGCTAAGAGAGCTCTCAGAAAACAGGATAGATTTTCCCCTGAAATGCCTCCCAAGAAAGCTTGCAATTGCCCAGTTCATCCCCAACAGAACCAAATCCAAAACCAGCTGAGAAAACAGAGGACGGCTGAGTAGGTTTTGAACAGAGCCCATCTGAATACGGGCCAAGACAAAGTATGCAATTATTAAGCTGATACTGAACCGAGCCAAGCAGAACTCCAGCCAAGAAAACATGTCATGACTGAGCTCTTTCCAAACGGAGCCAAAGTGAATACGGAGGCCAAGAAAGTATATTAATAACAGAGATGATTCCGAACTGATCAGAACTGAACAAAGAGCGAGGAACAAGTCGGGCTGGTTTATCATCGAGATCTTCAGTGCTAGGGACCCCATACTGCTGACTGACACTCAGTTTATGGCTACAATCCTGTATGGTCCAGTGCAGTATAATAGTTTCGCATGTAGAAGTACACAACATCTGGCCATTCATGGACTCCTGGACCTACTGTAAGGACACTGCCTGGTAGAGCAGTGCAGGGTTGAAGAAGAATTTGGTAGCAAGCTGCAAAATGATTACATCCTCCATGGAGGTCTGACAGAGGCTCAGATGAATCATAGAATTGTAAACTTGGAAGAGACCCCAAAGGCCATCCAGTCCAGCCCCATTCTGCCATGCAGGAAATCACAATCAAAGGGTCCCCAATAGATGGCCATCCAGCCTCTGTTTAAAAACCTCCAGAGGAGACTCCGCCAGTCTCTGAGGGAGTGCGTTCCACTGTCGAACAGCTCTTACTTTCAGAAAGTTCCTCCTAATGTTAAGGTGGAATCTCTTTTCTTGCATCCATTGTGTCCTATTCTCTGGAGCAGCAGAAAACAAGCTTGCTCCATCCTCAACATGTCATCCCTTCAAATACTTAAACAGGGATATCATATCACCTCTTAACCATTTTGCACAGGGGTACAAGAACATAGCCAGGCACTTGTCCAAAGGCTCTCCGTAAGTCATTGAACGGCCATGAGAGGAAGCTGTAATGAGTCTACAGAAAGTCCATTGAGGGACTTTGGCTGTTGTGGAGGGAGGGAGGGGATACCAATCATACTGACCAACCACATGGACCAAATGGGTCCACACTGACCAAAAAGAGTTGCATATAAGCACAAAGTTGACTTGTGTGTGTGTGTGTGTGTGTGTGTGCGTGTGTGTGCCATGAGTAGGATGCCAGCCAGAGAACGAGAAAGATTGATATTTGTACTGTGAAATTATAAGAATGGAAAAGCTCATTGGGAGATCAGGGTGCATCTGTACTGTAGAAAATGATGCAGTTTGACACCACTTTAAGTGTTCTAGTGCCATCCACTGAAATCCTGGGATTTGTCATTTGGCAAGGTCTCTGGCCTTCTTTGCCAAAGAGAGCTGGTCCCTTTCCAAACTTTGTAGGATGGAGCCAAGGTAGTTAAAAGTAGTAGCAAACTGCATTATGTCTACAGTGTAAGCGCACCCAAAGACCTCAGAGTTTTCAACCTGCATCCTCCCCGAAAAGATTCAGGGAAGGTATGGAAAGTATATTCTCACTCATTCATTTCCACACCAAAAAAGAGGCTTCCCTGACATTTGGAAATCCCTGTTGCAAAGAGTAACAGAGCAACAAGAGGTTTCTTGGTGCAAGAGGTATGGCTACACCAGGTCTCCCTCCTGTTATAAAACTTAAAATTCCTGGTTCAGATTGTTGCGTCAGTTCTTCTGGTTTGACCCCTGCCTCAACTCCACTGGCAATTTCCCACCTCTTAAGTTATGAGATAAATCCACCTCTGGACCCTGCTGGCAAATAGATAATCCATCGAAACGGCAGAACGCGATGCTAGGGGAGATCACACACTCACTCACACATACAGAGGACATTAAGTCTTGCCAATGGGAAACAAATCTCTGCTATCAGGGAGCACCAAAACACAGCTCATGGCAATTAAAAAGAAACACAAAGACACACACACACATACACACAAATGCCTTATGTCTTCCCCCTCTTGCATATCTTCAGAGTGAGCCATTTGCTCTCTTTCCACACAATCACCTAATGGTAATAACGCACATTTGACTGTAACATGCCCTTCACATTTTTAAATTTGGGTGTTGTTTTTGTTCAGTCGTGGAGCATTTCAGAAAGGAAGCCTGTTCGCTTGACGTTTACATTGGTGACGGGACAAAATAAAATAAAATGATGATGTCGATCATAGAATCGTAAGAGTTGGAAGAGACCTCAAGGGGCATCCAGTCCATTCTTCCATTCTGTTGTGCAGGAAGACAAAATCCAAGCACTCCCTGTAACAGATGGCCATCCAGCCTCTCTTTAAAAGCCTCAAAAGGAGACTCTACCACTCTCCACTGAGGCAGCATTTTCCAGTCAAAGATCTCTTACCCTCAGCAAGTTCTTCCTAATATTTAGGTGGAATCTCTTTTCCTGTAGCTTGAATCCATTGCTCCATCTCCTATTCTCTGGAGCAGCAGAAAACAAGCTTGCTCCATCCTCAACATGACCACCCTTCAAATATTTAATCATGGCTATCATGTCACCCCTTAACCTTCTCTTCCCTAGGCAAAACATATCCAGTTCCCCAAATTGCTCCTTACAGGCTTGATGGTTTCCAGAATTTGCACCATTTTGGTCACCCTCCTCTGGACACACTCCAGCTTGTCCACATCCTTCTTGAATGGTGGTGCCCAGAACTGGATGTTCTAGGTGAGGTCTGACCAAAGAATAGAGTGGTACTTGTTTCCCACAGATGAATAATAATAATAATAATAATAATAATAATAATAATAATAATAATAATTTATATCCCGCCCCACTGCAGAGCAATCGGGGCGGCTTACAACATTAAATTTACATTTAAATTTACATGATGACAATGATAATGATGATAATGATAGTGGTGATGGAGGTTGTGGTAATGATGATAATACCTGTCCTCTTGCCTCTTTCAGGAGGGATGGATACCTTCAGCACCAAGAATCTCGCTCTCCAAGCTCAGAAGAAGCTGCTAAGCAAAATGGCCTCCAAGAACATGGCCAGCATCTTCATTGACGACACCAGCAGTGAGATCTTGGATGAGCTCTACCGGGCCACCAAAGAGTTCACCCGCAACCGCAAGGAAGCCCAAAAAATCATCAAGAACCTCATCAAGATCCTAATGAAGCTGGGCATCCTCTACCGCAACCGACAGTTCAACGCGGAGGAGCTGGTGCTCATGGAACGCTTCCGAAAGAAGGTCCACACCTTGGCCATGACAGCCGTCAGCTTCTATCAGATAGACTTCACCTTTGACCGCCGGGTCATGTCCGGGATGCTCAACGAGTGCCGGGACCTGTTGCATCAAGCAGTCAATACCCACCTGACTGCCAAGTCTCATGCCCGCATCAACCATGTCTTCAACCACTTTTCAGACTATGAGTTTCTTTCGGCTCTCTATGGGTCTTCTGAGCCATACTGCACACACCTCCCAAGGATCTGTGACAGGCTCAACCAAATGCTCGATGAAGGCAACATCTGAAGCTCCGGCTTTGGTAAATGTCTGACACTAACCAAGGGAACCCAAAAGGGTGCCCGTTTGACTTGGGGAACATCTGCTTTGAATATCCCTGGCTGGTGCTAAGCAACTTGGGGTGTCTTTTGGGTAATGTTTAAGAATCGAAGTCGAGATCTTACGTTGTAACTTTTATGTGTTACATTGTAACATTGCTGTGTTGCAGAAATACAACAAAAAACTAAGCAAATTGGGAAGACGCACATCCAAGCAAGCGTGCGCCAAACTGCATTGGGTGTATTTGATGTGTACATCAGGGACTTCTGATATGTGCAACACTTCCAAACCAGTGTCCTGATGCACCTTGGGGACCCCTTCCGATGCACACTGGTCCCCATTGTGGATCGGCCGGCCATAGCACATCAGTCAAGCCACCAGCTACCACTGTGCAAGGGCCATTCATACATTTAAGATCATGGCAGCCCCTAGGTGAATGTAGACACCGCAAAGCTACTCTGTTAAATGTTGTGATCACATAAGACCACCTACAAAGACCCAAGACCCAAGTGAAACTTCAGCCTGGGTTTTCTAAAAATATTTCCTAGCTTGAATGTTAGTTGTTTGGGTTTCTTTCAATCCTCTTGCATTTCTTTCCACCCAATTGCTACTGGGGCTGACACAACCATCTGGCAAGAAGGCACATTGAGAGCATCTCTGAAGATATGAACCCAGGTTCACCCAGGAAGAGACAAGTTTCATTGGACCAGTAAGGCCAATGTTTTATTTTGTCTAGTATCCTAATTCTGATGGTGATCAGCCCATGAGGAAGGAGTCTTGTTGCTGGTCCCGTTTGGCTTTCAGAGCCACAAACATGCCTCTGAGCATGGAATATTTTTTTTCTCCAGCTAAGGGGTCTTGACAAATTTCTTCTCTATGAACTAGGCTGCTTCTCAAAAATCCATCTGGGCCCAAGTTCTGACAG